CCTTAGACCACTGTACTACCAAGGCTCTTTATTTATTTATTTATTTGTTTGTTTATTTATTTATTTGTTTGTTTATTTATTTATTTATTTATTGGTTCGATTTATATGCCGCCCTTCTCCGGAGACTCAGGGCGGCTTACAATGCATTAAGCAGTAGCCTTCATACTTTTGTATATACCTGCTTAGTAGGGCTTTCGGGCCCCCCCAAGCGGTGTTCTTTTTATACAAAGTCAGCTTATTGCCCCCACAAACCGGGTCCTCATTTTACCTACCTCGGAAGGATGGAAGGCTGAGTCAACCTTGACCTGGAGAGATTTGAACTCGCAGTAATTGCAGGCAGCTGGTGCTATTTAACAGCACTTTAGTCTGCTGTGCCACCAAGGCTCTTAATTTGGTGCCGGTCAGGAGAATTATGGCCAAAAAATCCAGAAAACACTCAGTTTTGACTGGTCCGAAGTGATCTAGCTGTGTTTCATGGCAAAGGCGGGACTAGAACTTACTGCCTCCTGCTGATTGACCCAAAGTCACCTAGCTCACTTTAATTTCTAAAGTAGGACTAGAACTCGCCGTCTCCTAGTGATTGGCTCAAAGTCACCCAGCTGGCTTTCGTGCCTAAAGCAGAATTAGAATTCACCATCTCCTAGTGGCGCCCAAAGTCACCCAGCTGGCTCTCATGCCTAAGGCGGGACTAGAACTCACTGTCTCCTGGTGATTGACCCAAAGTCACCCAGCTGGCTTTCATTCCAAAGGTAGGACTAAAACTCGCCATCTCCTAGTGACTGGCCCAAAGTCACCTAGCCGGCTTTTATGGCTGAGGCGGGACTAGAACTCACCGTCTCCTAGTGACTGGCCCAAAGTCACCCAGCTGGCTTTCATGCCTAAAGCTGAACTAGAATTTACCATCTCCTAGTGGCACCCAAAGTCACTCAGCCGGCTTTCATGTCTAAGGCGGGACTAGAACTCACTGTCTCCTGCTGATTGGCCCAAAGTCACCCAGCTGGCTCTCATGCCTAAGGCGAGACTAGAACTCGCCGTCTCCTAGTGACTGGCCCAAAATGGATGTGGATGGATGTGGCAAGCCAGAATTAAAACTTGTCCCTCCTTGCCTCCTTGGATGTAATGGGAACCGTTTCCTCCATCCCTCCCTAGACCGATTGGGGGAAATGTTTTTTTTTTTCCCCCAAACTCACATCAACACTTCAATTTCGCACAGCAGCGGAGGCCGCAAAGGGTAAACGAAGCTGAAAAGAGCCCCTCGTGGGTGCCCACGTCTGAATGGCACAGCCGCTACAGGCAATTGTGATAGAATTACACACATCGTCATTTGCAGCATAATTCGATTAACCTTTGCTAGGCTTTTAACTCAGCGTGCCAAGGCCTCCCCTGGAGTCATTGTAAGTCGAATGAGGGCCTAACTAGCTAGCTACCTAACTTAACCAGGAGCGGTGGGGGCATGGTACAGTGGTTAGAATGCAGCATTGCAGGCTAATTCTGCCGACTGCCAGTGGTTCGATCCTGACGAGACTCGACGTCCACTCAGTCCTTCCGTCCTTCCCGAGGTCAGTAAAAAAATGAGGACTCAGATTGTTGGGGGCAAGATGGTGACTCTGTAAACCGCTTAGAGAGGGCTGTACAAACATTATGAAGCGGTATATAAGTCTAAGGGCAGTGGTGGGATTCAGCCGGTTCGTATCACTTCGGGAGAACCGGTTCTTAACTTTCTGAGCAGTTTGGCAAACTGGTTGTTGGAAGAAATCATTAGGGCAGAGAACCGGTTGTTAAATTACTTGAATCCAGTGATGGGATTCAGCCAGTTCGTATCACTTCGGGAGAACCGGTTCTTAACTTTCTGAGCAGTTTGGCAAACTGCTCGTTGGAAGAAATCATTAGGGCAGAGAACCGGTTGTTAAATTACTTGAATCCCACTACTGTCTAAGGGCTATTGCTAGGATAGCAGTCTTCCAATATTTGAGGGGCTGCCACAGAGAAGAGGGGGTCAACCTACTTTCCAAAGCACCAGAAAGCAGGACAAGAAGCAATGGATGGAAACGAATCAGGGAGAGTAGCAACCTAGAAATAAGGAGAAATTTTCTGACAGCCAGGACAATTAACCAGTGGAATAGCTTGCCACCAGACCAGGGGTGGGTTCTACTTACTTTTATTACTGGTTCTCTTCGCGCACGCGCTTTGCGCGCAATCGCCGTGTGCATGCTCGGTTCGCTTGCAGGAGACCAAACTTGCACTTCGCGCAAGCGCGTTGCAAATCTGCCCCGCTGAGGTGCAGCAATCCGCTCTGCCGCACCTCTCAGCTGGGCAAAAAGACCGACATATAAGGTCAGCATAATGCCGGGGCGGGTGGGAAGGCCCAGCTCCCGAAGTCAGAGAACCGGTTCGGTGACGTCATATCGTTCTCTGCTACCAACTCTCGCGAACCGGGCCGAACCGGGAGGAACCCACCACTGCACCAGACGTTGTGGGTGCTTCATCACTGGAGGCTTTTAAGAAGAGATTGGATAACCATTTGTCTGAAATGGGTCTGTCACAGAGAAGAGGGGGTCAACCTATTCTCCAAAGCACCGGAGGAAAAGAAATAATGGATGGAAGCTCAGAGATGGGAGTGATAGGAATGATCTTTCTTTGCTCCTCAGCCTACCCAGGACAGAACAAAAGAACGGAACAACAGAATAATCGCAGAGTAACAGAACAACAGAATAACTGAATAATAACCGAATAGCAGAACGACAGAATAACAGAAGAGCTGATAGGGACCTTGGAGGTCATCTAGTCCAACCCGCTGCTCAGGCAGGAAATCCTACGCCATTTCAGACAAATCCTCGTCCAATTTCTTCTTAAGAAACCGAGAGCTGTTGCTTTCCCCATTCCTTGTCATCTCAGCAGCCATAAGTAGGGCAATTGTTGTCCCTGGGATCTGGGCCGCCTCTGGACATTCCGTCGTAAAATGAGGCCAAGAGATTGGACGAGATCCGTCCTGGCTTCATGGCACTTCAGGGCGCACCTTCCTTGCAAATCATTTTTATTCTGGCAAAGAGGAGAGGGAAGAAGGATTGCCATAGTAACCTTTGCCTGCTGTGATTTGAGTGCCAGGCTTGCATTGGAGAAGGCAGGGAGCCGGTCAGAGGTGGTGGGACTGGGGGCAGCTTTTGACCCATAGGCCTCTTCTCCTTCCTGGCTGAATTGGTGGCAACCGGGGTTATCCTGATCCCCTTTGCCCACGGTGGACCCCAAAGTTTTGGAATTTCCATGGTGCTCTCTTCCTCAAATCCCTAAAAATGGTTTCTGGGAAAATGAAAAAGTGATAATGGGAAGAAGGAGGAGGAGGAGGAAGAGGAGGAGGAGGTGGTGGAGGAAGAAAGAGAGGGAGGGAAGCAGGGAGGGAGGGAGGGAAAAGGGGAAAAAAGAAAGGGAGGGAGGGAGGGAGGAAGGAAGGAAAGGAAGGAAGGAAGGAAGGAAGAAAGGAAGGAAGGAAAAAGGAAAGGAGGGAGGGAAGAAGGAAGGGAGGGAAGAAGGAAGGAAGGGAGGGAGGGAGGGAAAAGGAAAAAAGAAAGGGAGGGAGGAAGGAAGGAAGGGAAAAGGAAAGAAGGAGGGAGGGAAGAAGGAAGGGAGGGAGGGAGGGAGGGAAAAGGAAAAAAGAAAGGGAGGGAGGGAGGGAGGGAGGAAGTTTCAAATCAGTACTTCTTCAGTACAGGTGGTCCTCAAGTTACGACCCCAACTGAGCCCAGAATTTATGTTGCTAAGTGAAACATTTGTTAAGTGAGTTTTGCCCCGTTTTGCCACCTTTCTTGCCACAGTTGTTAAACGAATCCCTGCGGTTGTTAAGTTAGGAACGTGGTTGTTAAGTGAATCCACCTTTGCCATTGACTTATGCTTGTCAGGAGGTCGCAAAAGGGAATCATGTGGTCCCGGGAACACTGCAAATGTCATAAATATGAGTCGGTTGCCAAGCACCTGAATTTTGACCATGTGACCAGGAAGGATGCTGCAATGGTCGTGTGAAGAAGGGCGAAGGGCGGCATATAAATCGAATTAAAAAAAAAAACGGTCATAAGTCACTTTTTTCAGTGCTGTTGTAACTTTGAACGGTCACTAAATGAACTGCTGTAAGTCGAGGACTACTTGTACCGAAGGCTAATTCAGGGAAGCCAAATAAGTTTCTCCTTATTTATCCAGCATCTCCATGTCTCTAATCATAGAAATTCCTTTTAGTTTAACCCTTTAATTCAGCTCCTAGAGCGGTTCTGATTTTAAAAGTATGCAAATCTCCAAACAGCCACCAGAGGGCAGTGTAAACCCCTCTTTACTGCCCCCTTATGGTGGTTCAGATTTGTTGCAAGGCTGGATCAGGCATAGGGCCCTGACAATGCAAGCTTAGAATCAAAGTGCCCCCATGGCAGTGGTGGGTTGCTCCCGGTTCAGCCCGGTTCGGCTGAACTGGTAGCGGTGATGCTATTATGTCACCGAACCGGTTCTCTTTCTTCGGGAGCTGGGCCCTCCCGCGTTATTCCGACCTTATATTTCTTCTTTTTTCGCCCAGCTGAGAGGTGCGGCAGAGCGGATTGCCGCATCTCATCTGGGCAGATTCGCAACGTGCTTGCGCAAAGCGCAAGTTTGGTGCGCAGGGGAGCAAAGTGAGCACGCGCACGGCAATCGCGCGCAAAGCGCACGGCCAAAGAGGCAATCGCGAGTGAAGCGCGCGCACAAAGCGAACCAGTAGTAAAGCCGGTTAGAACCCACCCCTGCCCCATGGCCAGCTCCTCTCTCGCCCCCAAGCTCTTAAAAACAGATTCCCAGGTGGATCGGGCAGTCCTGACGTTTTAAATCAGGAAAATGTATTTTTATTATTCCCCTTGGCATCCCCAAGAGAACAATTGTCCATCTGGTTATTTGCTTGGAATGGAATCAGGCAGCGAACCAACCAATTCACCCCATATCAAAAATAAATAAATAAATAATGGAAATAAAATAGGTCTAGGACTAGGGTAAATAGTAAAATAATCTTTATTTTGAAGGTTTTGTTTTTTTAAAAAAAAATTTTGGGGCAAGCAGAGGAAGGTCTGTCTGGATCACTCTGAGTTGATCCCAAGATAATAACTCTGCAAATGCTGGATTCTAAAGATGTGCCCCCGACTCGCAGCCCCCAAGCAATTTTGTCCTGTCTTCCTTTGGCCTGGCTTCTTTTCCTGCCACGGAGATCCCATGTAGCCAGAATGTCGCATGACGTCTCCGACGGAGATCTCTTCCTTAGGCTGGTTTGTCAATCCCAAACCTGGCTTGCTGAGCACAGCTTCCCTAGAATAATCATTTTTTGGGTGGAAGATGGGATTCTGCGGTAAAGAGAGGGGGGGTTTTACCATATCACAAAAAGGGAAGGAAGGAAGGAAGGAATGGAGGGAAGGACGGTAGGGAGGGAAGGATGGAGGGAGGAGGAAATGGAGAGGGAGGATGGGGAGGAAGGAAAGGAGAGGGTGGGAGGAAGAAAGGAAGGAGGGGAGGGAGGAAATGGAGAGGGAGGATGGGGAGGAAGGAAGGAGGGGAGGGAGGGAGGGAGGGAGGAAGTGAAGAAGGAAATGAAGAGAAGGGAGGCAGGAAGGAAATGGAGAGGGAAGGAGGAAGTGATGGAGGGGGAAGAACAGGGAGGGAGAAGGAATGGAAGGAAAGGAAGTGAAGGAGGGGAGGAAGAACAGAAGGAAGGAAGGAGGAAGGAAATGGAGAGGGAAGGAGGAAGTGATGGAGGGGGAAGAACGGAAGGATGTGAGGAAGGAAATGGAGAGGGAAGGAGGAAGTGATGGAGGGGGAAGAACGGAAGGAAGGAAGTGAGGAAGGAAATGGAGAGGGAAGGAGAAAGTGATGGAGGGAGGGAGGAAGTGAGGGAGGAGGGAGGAAGTGATGGAGGGGGAGGGAGGGAGGGAGTAGGAGGGAAGGGAGGGAGGGAGGGAATTATGGATAGGGAGGGAGAGGAAGAGAAAGGAAAGAAATAGAGAGGGAGGGTGGAAATGGAGAGGGAGGGAGGAAGAAAGGGATGTAGGAGGGAAGGAGGGAAGGAATCACAATATAGAAGGCAAGATTTGGATCCTATGTTTTCCTTAATGGCTCCCAAGGGCAGAAGCCAAGAGCTGAAGTGGCCCGTTGGAGGGGGGGGCGGTATGTCCTCTACTGTTTTGCGTCGGGAGCTTTGCCGGACGTCTTCAGCTTCGAGGTCAGCCTGATGGCGCACAGGGTGAAGGTCACAGCCCAGATGGCACAGCCGAAGGCCAACAAGCCAATGTAGAAGCTCTCTCCAAAATGAACCAACATGGAGTATTTCTTCCGTTCGGGTTCCACGAACCATCGACTCACCTTCTTAAAGCACCAAACGCAGATCGCTATGAGCACCGTGGTGGATATCCCTGCAAAAGAGAGGAAGGAAAAAAGAGCTGCGAAAGACCCCTTTGTTCTGCCCCAGCTACGGCCCCCAAAGAACGCAGCACACACAAAGTCCGTACAAACCTTAGTTTACTAATTAAGGACTACTCATGAGCTTTCTTAGCAGTTGTTCGAACACAAGTACAGTTTAAATCAGTCTTTTCTGAACAAGGGCTGTTAATTTAACTTCATGAACAGCCGACGTGAATCCAAAGAATAATAACTCCATTCTGAGTCACAGTATTTCAGATAACTAATCTTACTGTGGTTGGCAGAATGCCCAGAAGCAATTTGCAGGAAAACTGACAAGAGATAATCGAGAGCCGAATCGAACGTTTCTGGAATCAAGACACGGAGGAATATGAACGAAGTTGCTTCCTGCAAATTGCATCTGTCGTCATCCTTCCTTAAATAGGCTAGGGGAGTGGCCAATTAGCCCCAAGCCTTACTCTCGAGGAGACCTCCTCCTGAAGAGCCACTCCTGCTTTTTCGCAGCTCTGTGCGCTTGTGCATCGAGAAGAGGCTCCTCCTCTACTTCCTCTTCACTTAAGGGAGCTTCTGGAGGTTCTGAAGGCCCTGGCTGAATCCCCGCCTCTGGCACCACATCTTCTCCAGCCTCCTCACTGTCCGACTCAAGCGCCAGTTGCACAGGCTGCTGGTGTATCACCACACCAGCCTCCTCGCTGTCGGAATCAGCTACTAGCTGCACAGGCCGCTGACGGGCCACAACACCCTTTGGGGTGGAATAGGTGGAATCCCTATTACGGGCAGAAGAGACAGAAGCCAACATGCCAAAATCCTGGTTGTCCAGAGGCTGGATGTTCAGAGATGGACAACGGTTCGAGACCCAGAACCCCACTGCAGCACCTGAACACCAAGAAATTTCACTCCAGCAACTACTGTGTTTCCCCGAAAATAAGACCCTGTCTTATATTTTTTTTGAACCTCGAAATAAGCACTTGGACTTTTAGGGGAGGGGGGAAAGGTGTGTCTTATACTCCGAAAAATACGGTAATTGCAAATGCAGGGCAAGGCCAAACTTGGCACAGAGTCACAAACAGAACTTTCCCAGAGCTTTTACCGACCAGATGAACTAATTGCTTCCTGCAAAAGCTCATGTCCTGTTCACTTCTCTTTTATGTCTTATGGGAGGGGCCAATCATCTCCAAGCCTTACTCCCAAGTCGACCCTGTTTTCTTAATTGTTCCTGTCTTCTGGCAGCTCTGCGCATGCACATGCTGGGAACAGGCTCCCGCTGTTCTTCTGCCTCGCTGATGTCAGACTCCGGAGATTCCGGAGGTAGTAAATAACTACCAGATGGCCCTGGCCTCCTCTCTGCCTCCAACTCAGAGCCTGGTCAGAGCCTTCCCCAGACTCCAGGACTGGCCCATGTTCCTCCCCAACCTCCTCACTGTCTGAATCTGCTGCCAGCTCTGCTGGCCACTGGCAAGCCACAACAAACAACAACAAAAAGAGAACTAGAAGAAGAAGATGGTCACGATGCCAGCCCTGCCCAGATATGAGCCAACACAGACTCCTTCCCAGCCTCTCCCCAAATAAATCACTAAAACAGAGCAAGCTAATCCCCAGTGTTGCCTGAGCCTGGGCTATCGACAGATGGAGACTCTGAGAGTGAGGGAGAGGAGTTGGCAAGGCCTCCCTCTCCAGGACCCTCCTCTCTGGCAATGCCTCCGGAGGACACCGAAGGCCAAACGATAGGCTCAGAGCCAAGCATGTCCCCGCAGCCACAGGTGAACAGCGACGAAGAAGATAAGTGCTGGCTGGACCCTCGGCAGAGGCGCAGGGAGAAGCGTGCGCAGCAGAGGGGAAGGCGTGCCAGAGATTAGCTGAGTCACTGGACCACACCCCACAGGGTATAAATGTGGGTGTGGTGGCCGGTTCAGTTTGTGACGAGCAAAAACTGGAAATACTCCATGATCTCTGCGTTACTGGACTTTGCCTGCTTTATCGGACTGCATTTGGATTAATCCTTGTATTGTTGACACTCTGCCTGTTTTATCGGAATGCTGGCAGTCTAATCTTTGTTTTGTGTGAGTAAAGTCTGAATTGGCAGCTAGCTACTGGGTTGCTGCCAGCTTTATCTTCAAAGAGTTTTGTCATGTGGCTTATTAACTCCAGGCCATCTGTGGGGGTGCGTGTAGGGTAGGGGGACAGAACACCCAGCTGCAAACAGGAGGCAGCCTGACCATTACCTGAGGAAATATGGAAGGAAGAGACCAGCGTAATCCGATACTTCTCCAGCATCTGGAATTCCAGGTAATCCAGGAGAAAGGCTGTGACGCCAAAACAGAGATTCAGAAAGCAAACCGTGATCACAATTAGACTCAGCGCATGTCGGTCCTTCTGGAAAAAATATAAATATTCTGCAAAAAAGAAAGAAAACCAAGACATCGTAGGTCATCAAATGCACATTGGCAAAAGGCAGGAGCAGCGTCTTATTGGCTTTACAGGGAGTCCTCGAGTTAGGACCACAACTGAGCCCCAAATTTATGTTGCTCAGGGAGAAACGTGTTAAGTGAGTTCGCCCCGTTTTACAACTTTTCTTGCCACCGTCGTTAAGCGCATCGCTGCCGTTGTTACAAGTTAGTCACATGGTTGTTAAGTGAATCTGGCTTCCCCACGGACGTTGCTTGTCGGAAGGTCGCAAAAGAGGATCACAAGACCCCTGCGACCGTCATAAATATGAGTCCATTGCCAAGTATCCGAATTTGGATCATGTGACCATGGAGATGCAGCAACGGTCGTAAGTGTGAAAAACGGTCACAAGTCACTTTTGTTCAGTGCCGTTGTAACTTTGAATGGTCACTAAATGAATTGTTGTAAGTCGAGAACTACCTGTATTGTATTTCTTGGATTGTTGTGAACTGCAGAGAGTCATTGAGTCGGAGAGTATACAAATATGCTATACAGGTAGTCCTCGACCTACGACCACAAGGGAGCCCAAAATTTCTGTCCTTAAGTGAGGCATTTGTTAAGTGAGCTTTTTCCCCAATTTTACGACCTTTCTTGCCAGAGTTGTTAAGTGAATCACTGCAATTGATTAGTTAGTAACACCGTTGTTAAGTGAATCTAACTTCCCCTTTGACTTTGCTTGTCAGGTTGCAAAAGGGGATCACATGACCCAGGGAGACTGCACCTGTCATAAATATGAGTCAGTTGCCAAGCGTCTGAATTTTGTTCATGTGACCACGGGGGATGCTGCAACGGTCATAAGTGTGAAAAACAGTCATAAGTCACTTTTTTCACTTTGAACTGTTGTAAATCAACAGTTCTGTACTTTATATACTAACTGTACTATGGGTAATCCTTGATTTACAATAGTTATAATATGTAATGTATATGGAGCCGAGGTGGCGCAGTGGTTAGAGTGCAGCACTGCAGGCTACTTCAGCTGACTGCTAGCTGCAGTTCGGCAGTTCAAATCTCACCGGCTGAAGGTTGACTCAGCCTTCCATCCTTCCGAGGTGGGAAAAATGAGGACCCAGATTGTTGGGGGGCAAGAGGCTGACTCTGTAAACCGCTTAGAGAGGGCTGTAGAGCATTATGAAGCAGTATATAAGTCTTAAGTGCTACTGCTATATTGGAGGTGGAGAGCAGGGGTGAAATCCAGCAAGTTCTGACAGGTTCTGGCGAACCGGCAGCGGAAATTTTGAGTAGTTCAGAGAACCGGCAAATACCACCTCTGGCTGGCCGCAGAGTGGGGTGGGAATGGAGATTTTGCAATATCTTTCCCCCAGGAGTGGGGAGGGAATGGGGATTCTGCAGTATCCTTCCCCTGCCCCGCCCACCAAGCCACGCCCACAGAACCGGTAGTAAAACAAGTTGGATTTCACCACTGGTGGAGACCCTTTGAGAGCTGCATGCAACGAAATTTCAATTTAATGTATGCCGATTAGTGTATATTCAGAGTGACAATAAAGTTATTCTAAGTCTAGTTCATTTACTGACCGTTCAGAGTTACAGCAGCATGGGAAAAAGTCACCTAAGACCGTTTTTCACAGTTACGACCTTTGCAGCATCTCCGCGATCACGTGGTCAAAACTCAAGACGCTTGGCAATTGGTCCGTACTTATGACGGTCCCAGTGTCCCGGGATCACGTGATCCCCTTTTGCGACCTTCTGATGAGCGAAGTCCACGGGGAAGCCGGATTCACTTAACAACCAGGTGACTAACTTAACCTCTGCACTGATTCGCTTCACAACGGTGGCCAGAAAAGTCGCTTCACAACGGTGGCCCAACTGTAGTCATAAGTCAAGGGCTACTTGACTTATCATGCCTAATAAAAAAATTTCGGGTTCTAATTCAATTTCGTAATCTGTTATTTCTACTATCCATGTTTTTATCTTGTTCCAATATTAATATTAATATTAATATTAATTTCTTAAGAAATTAAGAATCTTAATGTCGTTATCTCTAGCCATCGTTATCATCTTTTAACGACCGCATAATCCCTTGCGGGATGGAGTCTGAGCAACTGAATGGAGGTAACAGAGCGTTTACTGGCCGGATGCCTTTCTTGTCACCAGTGCGGAGTTCTATTCAGCAGATAAATTCTCATCGTGCCAAGAAAGAGAGAAATATCTGCCGCTACCTAGGATTGAACTCACAGCCTCCTGATTGTGAGGCGAGAGCTCCACCTCTAGGCCACCGCACCACTCCCAAAGACCCCCCTCTCTAGCCATCCTTGGTGCAAATAGGGGTGTAAGGCCGTGCTCTCACCTGAGCTGTTCCTCGAGGTGTTCACCTTGTAGGGTATCCCGAAGCTGTAGAAGGCCACCGGCTGGGGTCCGAGGTGGGTCTCATCGGGCTCCAGCCAAACCCAATTCCGCATGTAGATGGCCACGCAGAGGACGACCATCCCGATGAACTGCATCAGGGCAGCCAGCAGGTTGTAGGCCTCGGGCAGCGAAAGGTCCTCTGGGGGCACCGGGGTCTTTGACGGGCGGCTGGAGGAGCGCAGCATCGCTGGCTGGAGGAGGGTCCCGCTTGGTCAAACGGTCAGGCTCAGCATCTGCCCCAAAGGAGAAGCAGCCCAGCCTCAGGGAGATGGAGGGGCCGATTGGGACCGTGGCCCTCCTTTCTTCCTTCCTCTCTCCACTTCCATTCCTTCCTCTCCTTCCTTCCTTTCCTTCCTCCCTCCCCTTCCATTCCTCCTTCTTCTTCCTCCCTCTCTCCCCTTCCTCCTTCTTCCTTCCCTTTTCTCCTTCCTTCCTTCCCTTTCTCTTCCTCCCTCCCTTTTTCCTCCCTTCCTTTCCCGTTTCTCCTCCCTCCCTGCACTATTCCCTTCCTTCCTTCCTCCCTCCCTTCCCTTCTCCTTCCACTCTCCCTTCCCTGTTTCCTTCCTTCCTCCCTTATTTTCTCCTCCATCCTTCCTCTCTCCCTTCCCTTTTTCTTTCCTTTCCTCCCTCCCTCCCTCCTTCCCTTTTCTCCTTCCTTCCTTCCCTTTCCCTTCCTCCCTCCCTTTTTCCTCCCTTCCTTTCCCGTTTCTCCTCCCTCCCTGCACTATTCCCTTCCTTCCTCCTCCCTCCCTTCCCTTCTCCTTCCACTCTCCCTTCCCTGTTTCCTTCCTTCCTCCCTTATTTTCTCCTCCATCCTTCTCCTCCCTTCCCTTTTTCTTTCCTTTCCTCCCTCCCTCCCTCCTTCCCTTTTCTCCTTCCTTCCTTCCCTTTCCCTTCCTCCCTCCCTTTTTCCTCCCCTTCCTTTCCCGTTTCTCCTCCCTCCCTGCACTATTCCCTTCCTTCCTCCCTTCCTCCCTTCCCTTTTCTCCTTCCACTCTCCCTTCCCTTTGCTTCCTTCCTTCCTTCCCCTTTCCTTCCTTCTTCCCTTTTCTCCTCCATCCTTCCTCTCTCCCTTCCCTTTTTCTTTCCTTTCCTCCCTCCTTCCTTTCCTTTTCTCCTTCCTTCCTTCCCTTTCCCTTCCTCCCTTTTTCCTTCCTTCCTTTCCCGTTTCTCCTCCCTCCCTACCCTATTCCCTTCCTCCCTCCCTTTTTCCTCCCTTCCTTTCCCGTTTCTCCTCCCTCCTTGCACTATTCCCTTCCTTCCTCCCTCCCTTCACTTTTCTCCTTCCACTCTCCCTTCCCTTTGCTTCCTTCCTTCCTTCCCCTTTCCTTCCTTCTTCCCTTATTTTCTCCTCCATCCTTCCTCTCTCCCTTCCCTTTTTCTTTCCTTTCCTCCCTCCTTCTTCCTTCCTTCCCTTTTCTCCTTCCTTCCCTTTCCCTTCCTCCCTCCCTTCCTTCCCTTTTCTCTTTCCACTCTCCCTTCCCTTTGCTTCCTTCCTTCCTTCCTTCTTCCCTTATTTTCTCCTCCATCCTTCCTCTCCCTTCCCTTTTTCTTTCCTTTCCTCCCTCCCTCCCTCCCTTCCTTCCCGGTCCAACTATCCTGATAACTGATGTAGGCAGTCAAAAAAGTCAAGATGGCAGCTACGACCCTTCAAAACCCCGCCTCTTTTTATGGGCATCCAATCACGTGACCCCCAGCTACCCTCTGGCCTTCCCCCGCCAACCCCCCCCCCACTTCAGCCAGAGTCACGACAACCCACTGCCCGCCTGCTGGTCCCGGCAAGGGATTTTGGGAGCTGTAGTCCCAATCATCTGCCAGTTCCATTAGCTCAGCCCAGACTTTGGGGAGGGGGTGGGCTTCTCCCTTCTTTGAGCCCCCTCACCATACAGAGGTCTGCCCCCTGCCCTGCCAATTCAGCCCATGGTGGCTGGGGTGCCAGGCTTATCCTATGCCAGCCAGCCCCAATCCTGGCTCTCACTTGTGCCTGGCGGTTGTTGGCTTCCAACCTGCTTTCTCCAGTGTGCAGTGTTTGTGTGTCTGTGTCTAGCGAAGCACAACTTCTACGGGACCGATAGTTGTGAACAGACAACTCTGATGACAAACAGCACTGATGGCCAATTTCTGGTCGCCCGGCAACCACACACAACAATGGCGAAGATGGTTTGGCTTCATCTGTGTTCAGAATTCCTAGTCCGCCCTTCGCCCCCGAGATTTCCTGGTGGTGCCCTGTTCTTGGTTAGGGAAAACTAACTCCAAAACTCGGTGTTAACACCTTGGTGAGTCAATCCTGGCTTTTCGCGTTCTTACAAAATTCAGTCATCCTCCCATCTGCTGGCTTTCAAAGTTGAAAATTCATCGCTGCAGACGGAAAGGCCTCCTCCCTGCATGATTTAGCTTCGGTATTCCGTGGGATGGTTTATTCGTGGTTAGCGGAATTATTTATTTTATTTTATTAAATTTCTATACCGCCCTTCTCCCGAAGGACTCAGGGCGGTGAACCAGCCAGAAGATAAAACACAGAAGTACAAAAATTTAAAATAGATTAAAAACGAATTAAATAATTTGGCTGAATTTAAAATACCCCATAATTTAAACAGATTAAAATTTGTATTTAAAATTTATATTTAAAAGGGGAGATGATTTAGGCCAGGCCAGAATAATCTACCCGATTTTTTTTAGATCTGTCCATTAATACGCTGAAACTCAAAAACGAAACAAAGAGCGAAGACGGAGATAAAATTTGGTTCTCCGTGCAATAATGCACGTCTGCCTTCTCCTTTTCAAATAGGGAAGTCTTCTCCAAATTTAAAATGACAAGAATTAGTTTGGATGTGGCATAGGGAATAGACTTTTCAGACCGAGTCTCAAAACCACCCATTCTCTAGACAATTTTAAAAGCACTAATCGGAGACCTGGCAAAGTATTTATAATCCAGAATTGCCTTTACTAAATGGGATTATATTTATCTTGGATCATTTTTTAAAAAATGACAATAGGTTTTAAGTATATTTTGATCGTCTAGTTTAAGAAAGAAAAAAAAAAAGCCACAATTTCTGCCTTTGCTGTAAATTTTGAACGTCATAAATCCAGTAAAAAAAAAAAAGTCCATTTCCAAAGACTTGGTATTTTTCTCCACATATTCAATATTTATTCACAGTTCAGGAGAAAGTCAAATCTTGAAATATCCAGTATCTTTACCCCCATCTTTGCATCAGCATCCATAACTGAGACCCACACATAAACTAAGGCATAATCCTAACCCCGTTATCCTCGTATAGGGGAAAAAAAGTACCCCTATTAATTTGGAAAAATAACAAATAGTAAGAAAGCTGCAAGTTAAGTTCAAAAGCGATTGCAATTGTTTGTATTTGAATCTCAGGGACTGTGATGCATAAAGGAAGTTTAAACGGAAAACGTTATTTCTTGGAATCAGAACTGTTGGCTTTACAGCTTGTCTACCTCCCTGGGTGGACCGGGAGTATGGGATTTGTAGTACAGAAAAGGTTGTTAGAAATACAGGCGAAGGCCCGCAAATTTCCAGGTCTAAACTTTCAATATATATTCCATGAACAGCAAATAATTCCCCAGGAAAAGCCTCGTAAAAGGATTCTTCCTGCTGTATTCTTAATGCATATCAAGTGCATTTCTTTATATAAATATATTCTGAACATGAATAGGATTTAGTGATCCAAAAGCCCACCTGATCCCCCCCCCCAAAAAAGAAAGACTTTATTTTATTTGTCCCCCAAGAATAGAGGGGCTTCTCAGGCCACCCCTTTGGTAAGAAAATCGGCCTCCGCTTGCAGATTGATGAGGGAGTTGCTTTCTCGAGCCAGCTCTGTAATAGAGACGCGTCCCCGACGCTGGATGAACTCCGCCACGGCCGTCAACTCTTCGGGTGTGATGTAGATGAATTTGCCTCGGTCGTCGATCACCCCTGCAGGACAGGACAGACCAGGAATTAAAATCCACACACCCCCCCACACCCCCAATTGGGGTTGAATTAAAAGGGAGGAAAAGTTGGGACTCAATTAATTCTTCCAGGATTTCAAAATCGTGCCATTCACGAGGGTGATTGAAAGGGTCTCGCGGTTTCAATGGGAAAATTTGTTTATATTCCTTTCATAGATTTACCTGCGTTCCGGGGTAGAGTGGGGTGCTTCCTCTTCCTCGCCCCTTTTTTCTCTCTCTTCCCGCCTTCCTTCTTCTCTCCACTCTTTCTTGTCTGTCCTGCCTCCCTCCTTCCTTTCTTCCTCCTTTCCTTCTGTATCCTCCATCCCTTCTTTCGTCCTCCCTCCCTTTTCTTCTCTCCTCCCTTCCTCCTTTCTCTCTTCCGTCTCTCCTCCCTTCCTTCTCTTCCTTGTCTCTCCTCCCTCCCTCCTTCCTTTCTTCCTCCTTTCCTTCTCTCCTTTCCTTCTTTCTCTTCCCTCCCTTCTCTCTTCCTTGTCTCTCCTCCCTTTCTTCCTCCTTTCCTTCTCTCCTGTCTCCTCCTTCCCTCCCATCTTCCTTCCTCCCTTCCCCTCTCCCTCTTTTCTTCTCCTCCCTTCCTCCTTTCTCTCTTGTCTCTCCTGTTTGTCCCCTTCCTTCCTTTCTTCTCCTTTCCTTCTGTATCATCCATCCCTTTTCTTCCTCCCTCCCTTTTCTTCTCTCCTCCCTTCCTCCTTTCTCTCTTGTCTCTCCTCCTTCCTCCTTCCTCCTTTCTTTCTCTTCCCTCCCTTCCTTTTTCCCTCCCTTCTCTTCTGTTCCTCGTCTCTCCTCCCTTTCTTCCTCCTTTCCTTCTCTCCGTTTGTTTCCTCCCTCCCTCCCCTCTCCCATCTTCCTCCCTCCTTCCCCTCTCCCTCTTTTCTTCTCCTCCCTTCCTCCTTTCTCTCTTCCTTCTGTCCTCCCTCCCTCCTTTCCTTCTTTCTTCTCCCTCCCTTCTTCCTTTCTCCCTCCCTTCCTCTTCTCTCCTCCCTTCTCTCTTCCTTGTCTTGCCTTTCTTCCTCCTTTCCTTCTCCCCTTCTTTCTCCCCTCCCATCTTCCTTCCTTCCTCCCTCCCTTCTCTTCCTTCCCTTCTCTTCCCTTCTTCTCTTTCCTCCCTTTGTCTCTTCTCCTCCTTTCCTTCTCTCCCTTCCCTCTCCTCCCTCCCTTCTCTCTTCCTTCTTTCTCTTCCCTCTCTCCCATCCTCCCTTCCCCTTTTCTTTCCTCCCTTCCTCCTCTCCCTTTTTTCCCTCCCTTCATTCTCTCCACCTGCTCGAATTTGAAAGGAATTACTTCGCCCCAGATCCCCCAGTAAACTGGCTGCCTGATGACTGAGAAAGCAACGTTTGGCCTTCTTAGCCATACACGCCCTTCCTCCGCTGCGGGCCTCCAAACAACCTTGGGATCTGAATTTACAGAATTATACTGAAAAACCTCTGCGGTGTGGCAGCTTGTGGGGCGGGGTAAGCAGCTCTAACCACTACACCACAGCAGGTGCAAGACCATCCACGGGAGACCCAAAGCTAAGGAAGGAAGCATGCACAAGAATGACATCCTCCCGAAACAAAAGTCTCAACTCGGCCCAGGAAATCAGCATATTTTTTTTTGCCAACCAGCTCTGAGCCAATGAAATAGCCCAAGAGTGACTTTTGGACATTTCGTATGATTTCGAGCCCGAAGAGCTGATATTCTTACGAGCCACCGTAACCTTGCAAACAGGCATTTGCAACCGAACGGAAGCGCTCGTCAACCGCCATCGACAGAAGGTGGCCAGGAGGTATCACGGCGAAGACATCTGCTTCGGTTTAAACAAGGCCAGGAAATCCCGTACGGTGTTTTGCTCTCACCTGTGAGCGTGCCGTCTGCCATCAGGTCTTGCACTCTGTTGATGGCCTCCTGGGGAAAAGAAAACCAAGCAGGTAAGCCTTCCTTTTCGGGGAAGGGGTTGGGCAGCGGCTCAGAACGCGGCTGCCCCATCACCGTAAGCCCCCTGGTTTTGCGACTCACATCATACGTGTAAGTGAACAAACTTGTAAGTGGATCATAAGCTTCCTAACAGATAGGAAGCAGCAGGTGAAGCTAAGCAGAATCACATCAGATACCTGTACAATTAACACAGCCCCCCCCCAAGGCTGTGTGCTCTCCCCACTTCTCTTCTCTCTGTATACCAATGACTGCATCTCTAACGATCCATCTGTTAAACTACTGAAGTTCGCAGATGACACAACAGTGATCGGTCTCATTCGAGACAATGATGATCAATGAGAAAATCCGCATACAGACAGGAGGTTGAACAACTAGCCTCGTGGTGTGACCGGAACAATCTGGAACTGAACACACTCAAAACCGTAGAAAAGAGCCGAGGTGGCGCAGTGGTTAGAGTGCTGTACTGCAGCCACTTCAGCTGACTGCTAGTTCAGCAGATCAGCGGATCAAATCTCACCGGCTCAAGGTTGACTCAGCCTTCCATCCTTCCGAGGTGGGTAAAATGAGGACCCAGATTGTTAGGGGGCAATGTGCCATTTAGTATACTGTCGATTGTTGTAAGCCACCCAGAGTCCTCGGAGAGTGGGCGGCATAGAAATATGACTAATAAAATAAATAAAATAATAAATGGTGGTGGAGTTTAGGAGAAACTCTTCCGTACTTCCACCTCTCACAATACTAGACAACACAGTGTCGACAGTAGAGGCCTTCAAATTTCTAGGTTCTACCACATCGCAAGATCTAAAATGGACATCCAACATCAAAAACGTCATCAAAAAAGCACAACAAAGACTGTTCTTTCTGCGCCAACTCAGGAAGCTCAAACTGTCCCAGGAGCTGCTGGTCCAGTTCTACGGAGGAATGATTGAGTCTGTCATCTGCACCTCTATAATTGTCTGATTTGGCTCTGCAACCCAACAAGACAGACAGAGACTGCAGAGGATCATTAGAACTGCAGAAAAAACCATGGCTACCAACCTGCCTTCCATTGAGGACCTGTGTACTGCACGAGTCAAAAAGAGGGCTGGGAAAATATCTACAGACTCCTCGCATCCTGGACATAAATTGTTTCAACACCTACCCTCAAAACGACGCTATTGGGCACTGCACACCAGAACAACTAGACACAAGGACCTTCACTGGTGGGGAACCCTTGACCGTCACATGCAGCACGTGGACAGAGGGGCAAAGACTTGTGGACAATTCTCAAGGTCCAGCTCGCAAACACCTACCTGTGTCCTGAGGCCCAGGTGAGAAGCCAGATCTTCCAAAAGGACCACTTTTGCATTCTGTGTGGAAGGGACGAATTTGGAAATGATTATTTCATTCATTCGTTCGTTCATTCGTTCGTTTTAAATAATTGAATAGGAAGGAATTTCTTGACAGTGAGAACGATTAATCAGTGGAACAGCTTGCCACTTGGAGTTGTGGGTACTCCATCACTGGAGGTTTTAATAAAAGTTTGGACAATCGATTGTACAGGATGGTATAAGGCCATGATGGCAAACCTATGGCACGTGTGGGCATGCCAGCTCAGCTCTGACGCGCATCTGCGCACTGGCCAGCTGATTTTCGGGCCTTCTCGTCCCAGCAGAAGTAGGGAAACAGGCTGTTTCCTGCCTCCGGAGGGCCTGGGGGGGTGGGGAAGGTCCTTTTTTCCCCCTCACCTGGCTCCAGATCCTCTCTGTGCATCTGGGGAGGGTGAAAACAGCCTTCCCCACTCCCTCGGAAGCCTGAAATGGCCCATTTCCCAACTCCAGGTGGGACAGGAAGTGACGTTTTTTGCTGTCCCCAGCCTCCAGAGACTCCTAGAGAGGCCTCCAGAGGGAGTGGGGAAGGCTGTTTTTGCCCTCCCCAGGTGCACAGAGAGGATCTGGAGCTAGGTGAGGAAAAAAAAAACGGGCCTACCAGGCCATCACGTGCCAGGAGCGGGGGTGCCCGTGCACGCACAGGGTGGGGCACATAGAATTATGGGTGTGGGTGTGGGCATGTGCATGAACCTCCCCCTCCTCCCCCTCCTGGCACGCGATGGCAAAAAGGTTAGCCATCACTGGTATAAGGACTCCTGCCTTGGGCGTGGGGCGTGGGCTATAGCCACCCATCACAATCAATGAGGAGGAAGAGGAAAAGGAAGAGGAGGAGGCGGCGGCAGCGTAAGACTTGGAGGTCCTTGGTCTCTATGAGCTTGGTTGCAGACATTTCATGACCCAACTAGGTAACCGCATCAGTGCTATGTAGGACAAACAGGCAGAAGATTAGCAGAGCTGCTAATTTCACAACTCTTGGAGAGACCTAACCATTGTTGCAACTGGGAAACTGAATATCCTAGACCAAGCTAAGTCCAAAAACACCAGAGAAGCCTGACACTCAAAACAAATCAATCAATCTATTCAGATTAACAGAGTTGGAAGGGACCTTGTAGGTCATCTAGTCCAACCCCCCACCCAAGCAGGAGACCCTACACCATTTCTGACTGATGGCAGTCCAGTCTTTTCTTGATAGCTTCCAGGGATGAAGCTCCCACAACCTCCGAAGGCAACTTCTGTTCCATGGGTTGATTGCTCCTATCAATCAGAATAGAGCTGGAAGGGACCTTGGAGGTCTTCTAGTCTAACCCCCTGCTCAACCAGGAGATCCTACCTACACCACTCCAGACAAGTGACTGCCCAGTCTTTTCTTAAAAACCTGATGAAGCACCCACAACCTCTGGTGGCAAGCTGTTCCACTGGTTAATTGTCCTCACTCTTAGGAAGTTTCTCCTTAATTCCAGGTTGCTCCCTTCTTTGATTAATTTCCATCCATCGTTTCTTGCCTTGCCTTGGAAAGACAAGAAAATCAACAGGCATACAGAGATAAATAACAACTACACGCCATTCAAAAGAGACAATCGACTAGGTAAAGGTCATCAGTGCTAATGATTATAGCTCTGATGATGTTGCCTAGTAGGGTAATGAAACGTCTGCAAGAAACCAACCAAGCTCAGAGGGCACTAAAGATCCCACAGAGACACCCAGGGTGGATAAAAATCAATGATTTTTTTAAAAAAATCAAAAAAATCAGATTTTTTTGATTTAAATCGGATTTTTTTTTATTTAAATCAGATTTTTTGATTTTTATTGAATTTATTTTAATAAAAAACTTTTGGGGTAAAAATCTATCGTAAGATAGTTTTCTATTTAAGATAATAATAATTTAGTTTATTCAGCATGAAATGGAGCTTAGTTATGTAGCATGAGGCTGTATATTCTGTAACACTGGGACTATCGGCGAGTCAACAGCGGGTCAAAGGAGTAGCAGAGATGACAGTTGCTCTTTAAAAATTAGGATTTAAATCGAGTTGATTTAAATCAAGCCTTTTTACTAGTGATTTAAATCATGATTTAAATCGTGATTTAAATCGACTCGATTTAAATCAAATCCACCCTGGAGACACCTATTTGGCACCAAAGAGTATGGTATTTTGCTCCTAAGTGATCCATAGCTTGAATTACGGCCAAGGGCATGTAGTATTAAGGAAGAACTGGGCAAAAACTGAACAATTAAATTTATTTATTTATTTTATTTTATTAAATTTCTATACCGCCCTTCTCCCGAAGGACTCAGGGCGGTGAACAGCCAGAAGATAAAACACAGGAAATACAAAATCTAAAATAAATTAAAACAAATTAAATAATTTAGGCTGAATTTTAAAATACCCCATAATTAAACAGATTAAAAATTTATGTTTAAAATTTAAATTTAAAAGAGGAGATGATTTAGGCCAGGCCGGCTTGATGAAATAAAAACGTTTTAAGCGCGCGACGGAAGGTGCAAATTAAAAATATATTAAGCAACAAAAGACTCAAGTAAGAAAGAGGAACTTACCTTAATGTAATTGAGCAGCTCTGTGACGAAACTACGTGACTGGACAAAACAAGAGGAAGAACAATAATTAATACACTGGAGAAGGAAGTACGGGTAGTCCTTGACTTACGACACTTCATTTTTAGTGACCGTTCAAAGTTACAATGGCACTGGAAAAAAAAAAGTGAATTTTCACACTTACGACCCTCGGGACAGCCCCAATGATCCTGTGATCAAAATTCAGAGGCTTGGCAACCGGTTCATACTTATGACGGGATCCCCCTCTGGTGACCGTCGGACGAGCAAAATCCACGGGGGAGCCAGATTCACTTAACAACCGTTAAGTTACTCACTTATCCGCTGCGACGATTCACTTAACCACCGTGGCAAGGAAGGCTGTAAAAGTGGGACCACGCTCACTTAACAACAGAGATTTGGGGCTCCATTACGGTCGTAAGTCAAGGACTACCCGTAGATGCATTTTAAAGAATGAATTAGTACAGCAGCTTCTTGTCCGGTGCTGTTCGGGGGGTGAGAAGGCTGTTGGCTCCTGCGTAAATAATACATTTCCACGCCTGCGCAGGCTCTATATACATATTCAGCATACTAATAAATAATAGCTAATTACTAGAAATCATCCGAGTACATTGCATACTCCAGACACGCAGGGAAATTAAATTTGCTGCAGAGTCCTGTTACGCCGGATTATTTTATTTTTTTTGATATGACACAATTATGTCTTCTGGTCTTTTGGGGATTGGAAGCCTGCCCTTCCCGGCTGCAAACTAATCTCTGTTTTATGACTAATTTTGCAAATAAATTATACGTAACCCCACGAGAAAAGGCTCGCCAACGGATCTAGGAATTTGCAGGGGGGAGGGGGGGGAAGACGCAGCAAATCAGTAAATGTGCAATTCCTAGCCAGGGCCTTAGAAGGTTTTCCTAGGAGCCCTGTCTGTCATTTTGCCCTTTTGCCTCCTATTCTAGTTCATCTGAGGCTCAGGCTTAAGGGCAGATTTTAAGTCTAAAATGATAAAATGATAAAAGACAGCATTTTATTCAAGGATTCTTCTCCATCCATCCATCCCTCTCTTCTCTCGTCCCTGTCCCTCTCTCTCCTTCCTTCCTGACGTTTCCTTCTCTTCTCTCCTTCCTTCCATCCTCTCCCTTTCTTTCCTTCCTTCTCTCCTTCTCTTGCCCATACTGTACTTCCTTCCCTTCCCTTCCTCCTTTCCTTTGTCTTCTTTCTTCCTCTGACCTTCTCTTTTCTTCTATCCTTCTTTCCCTTTCTTCCATCCTCTCTCTTTCTCTTTCCTTCCTCCCTCCTCCACCCATCCCTCCCTCCCTTTCCTCTTCTTCTTCCTCCCTCCCTCCATTTCCTTCCTTCTTTCCTGTCCTTTCTTTCTTTCTTTGACCTTCCCTCCTTCCTTCCATCCTCTCTCATTCTCTTCCCTCCTCCCCTTCTCCATCCATCACTCCCTCCCTTTCCTCTTCTCCTTCCTTCCGTTTCCTTCTCCTGTCTTTCTTCCTCTGACCTTCCTTTCCTTCCCTTCCTCCCCTTTCTTCCATCCTCTCCCTTTTTCTCCTTTCTTTCCTCCTTTACCCATACTTCCTTCCTTCCTTCCCTCCCTCCCTTTACTTCCTTAACTTTTTTCTTCCTCTGACCTTCTTTCCTTCCCTTCTTCCTTTCCTTTCTTCCATCCTCTCATTCTCTCTTCTTCCTTCCTCCTTCCTTCTCCACCCATCATTCCCTCCCTTTCCTCTTCTCCTTCCTCCCTCCCTCCGTTACTCCCTCCTTCTCCACCATCATTCCCTCCCTTTCTTCTCCTCCCTCCCTCTTCTTTCATCTTTCCTCTGACCTTCTCTTTCCTTCCCTTCTTCCTTTCCATTCTTCCATCCTCTCTCATTCCCTCTTCCTTCCTCCTTTCTTCTCCACCTATCATTCCCTCCCTTTCCTCTTCTCCTTCCTCCCTCCCTCCGTTCCCCCCTGCCTATCATACAGCTGAGCTCTTCCTTCTCTTAAAAGCAACTAATCCCATCACCCCATTTTTATCCTCCACTCTTCCTGCTCCTGCCTGCCCTCTGCAGCCAGCCGACCAGACGTACCTGCTCCTCCGTCATGGCTTCATCCATCCCTTCTTCTTCCACCACAAAACTCTCTTTCAGCTTCAGATATTCCTCATATTCCCGCCGCTCCTCCTCCTCCTTGGCCTTCTTCAACTCTTCTTCCTGTGAGGAGGGAGTTTCGGGTGATTTTATGCGTCTCATATATACAAAGGCTGCTGGACGAGCCCTTCCCAACCCAAGGTTGGACTCCAACTCCCAGGATGCTCAGCTGCTTTAAGGCCACCAGACTTTAATGCCAACTACCACAGGATTCTTTCCATTCTGTCCACTGTTTATAAAGGATGGTTGTATTGCTTCATTTAGTGACATTATTCCTAACCAGCTTCCAGCTCGTTAAGAGTTTCTCAAAGCAGCTGAGTAGAAAAGGCGAGAAAGTCCCTATCCTCTTTCAGTGTAAGAGAGAGACAAGCCAAGAAAGAAGGAAGGAAGGGAGAGAGGCTAAATGCCCAGAAAAAGAGTTAAACACATTAAGCTTTGCATCAATAAATGACCGCCCCTTCCTTCTAACCAAATGCCTCCTGTTTTCTCCATAAGAACAACTCTGTGAGTTGGACTGGGCTGAGAAAAAGTGACTGGCCCAAAGTCACCCAGCCAGCTTTCATGGGCTAAAGCAGGACTAGAACTCACCATCTCCTGGTGATTGGCCCAAAATCACCCAACTGGCTTTCACAGCTAAGGCAGAACTAGAACTCACCGTCTCCTGGTATTGGGCCAAAGTCACCCAGCTGGCTTTCAGGCCTTAGTCTGGACTAGAACTCACCGTCTCCTGGTGATTGGCCCAAAGTCACCCAACCGACTTTCATGCCTTAGTCTGGACTAGAACTCACCGTCTCCTAGTGATTGGCCCAAAGTCACCCAACCGACTTTCATGCCTAAGGCAGGACTAGAACTCACCGTCTCCTAGTGATTGGCCCAAAGTCACCCAACTCGCTTTCATGCCTAAAGTGAGACTAGAACTCATTGTCTCCTGGTGATTGGCCCAGAGTCACCCAGCCATTCCGCAGTGAGGAGAACTCCTCATCTTCTGCTTCCAGCCTGGTGTCTTAACCCCTACATAAGCCTGACTTTCACACCTTCCTTGCATCCATTTTTTAGCCACCCAGCTGGCTTTCATGTCTAAAGCAGGACTAGAACTCACTGTCTCCTGGTGATTGGCCCAAAGTCACCCAGCTGGCTTTCATGCTAAGGTTGGACTAGAACTCACAGTCTTCCATTTTCTAGCCTGGTACCTTGACCATTAGACCAAATTAATGAAGGGACTACCAAAACCACCCTTCCACCAAGATTGCCAGGACAAGCAAGTTATATAAATGGGAAGGAACCCCCACACTCGCGCTAGCCCTGATGATGTTACCCAGTTGGGTGATGAAACGTCTGCAAGAAAATTACCAAGCTCAGCGAATACCAAAGACTCCAGCCCTGAGCTACAGATAATCTCTTGTATTGGAATATAGAAACTAATCCTGATTTCGCCCATTTTGGCCACCCCAACTGTGTTCCGACGTCATCTCTGACAGCTCACCTTCCTTTCCTCTTCCTGCCGCAGCCGTTCCTCTTCCATGCGCCGTTCTTCATCCCGTTTTTGTTCAACCTTCTTTCTTTCTTCCCGTTCAGCCTCTTCAGCCTTTGGACACGGAGGAGGAGGAGGAGGAGATAATTAAGGGTGCGGTTTTTTTGTGTAGATAAAATCCCTCCTTCCTGAAACACGTCCCTCAGACGATCTTAAAAACAGTTTTCCCCTCATCTTGACGCAGAAACAAAAAAACACTTGTGAAAAGGGAAATATATCCACTGGAAAGTTGCAGGCAATAAGGTTTAGGAGTGGGCTTCCAGGGCCTCACTGAACCGAAGTTTTAAACTAACATCATTGCAAAATGTACTGGACATATTTCTAATGTGCTGATTTGTGTGCTGCATTTTCTGCGAAGTGTGTACTTGTACGCAGGGGTAAACAGTTTGGGTTGGTTCGCCTGAACCGGTAATAAAAAATGCTACAGGTTCGCCGAATCGGTAGTTAAAAAAATGTAAAAAAAATAAGTTCCGACAATCAGCTGAGCGACACGCGATCGTCGGAACTTTTTTTTTTAAAAAAAATCTTTTTAAACATTTTTTTACTATCGGTTTTCTGGAACCAGTGGTTAAACATGCTTTAAAAAGTAAAAAAAAAAAAAAGTTCCGACGATCGTGTGTCGCTCAACTGATTGTCAGAACTTTTTTTGTTTTGTTTTGTTTACTTTTTAGGCATTATTTTACTACCGGTTCACTTAACGATTGTCTCAGCCACAGAAATGTTGGGTTCAGTTGTAGTTGTAAGTCAAGGACTATAAACATCACTTCTTCTTTATCCCACTATAACTACTCTCCACCGTGCGCAAACTCTACCACGTTTTTTGTAGGTACCTAGTCTAGTGAAAAGAAGGATTAGGGATGACATGATACCAGAATTTCAATATTTCAGGGGCAAATAGGTAGCATAAAAATGCTTTAAAAAAGTAAAAACAAAGGCTCGGACAATCGCGCAGCTGTGATCGTCCAAGCCTTTTAAAAAACTTTTTAAAAGCATTTTTTAACTACCTATTTGCCCGAATCGGTAGTAAAAAATGCTTTCAAAAAGTTTTTTAAAAAGTTCCAATGATCCCACGGCACAGCTGATTCCCCCCCCCAGCTGTTCTACTTCCCAATGACCGTTAAAAGTTCTTGTGTTAACCAGCAACCACATTTTAATTTGTGACTTAAATATATATATATATATAAATCATGATTCTATTTGCCTAAACCTGGGAATTTTGTTCCCTTCTCTTTACACCTTGATGCGGTCTCTAACTTGGTCCCTTCTGACTTTAACTAGGACAACAACTCCCAGGATCCCTAGGGACATGATCCGATCCAAGAAAACGGATTTATAAAATGCAGGGGACACTCACCTCTCTCTGAACTTTCCTTGCCTGCTTCTCCTCTAACTTCCGCTGTTTCTTTGCGCCAATCTTCCCGGAAACCTGGGATTCAGCCGGTTCGGCTCCATCGTTTTCTTCTAGGTATGGTTTAACAATCGTTTTTGAAGAGGGAAAAGGAAACGGAGAAAGATCATCAGTGCTAGAAGGAAGTGAGGTTTGCAAAGCAGGAGGAGGGAGGAGGAGGAGGAGGAAGAGGAGGAGGAAGATGACAACTATGATGGAGTCCTTGGTGCTCTCTGAAGTTGGTTGTTTCTGTTAGGGAATGGGTATTGCCTAACTGGTTGGGTTAGCAATATATATAAACCATCAATGCATGTTTCAAAATGTAATGTATAGCTTGAAGACTGTAATGCTGTATTGCATCATATTGTATTCTGATTGGCTAGCTCTGTAGCCAATGTACTTAAGAGGAAGCTTGACTCATGGCTTATTTTTCTTATTACATTATTATTGCTACCTCTGCTCCTCTCTGCCTCTTCTCTCGGCATGATCACTGCTTGATCATTGCTACTTGTTGTTTTCTACTGTTTTACTGATTGTTTTACTGCTGTACTTGTTCCTGTTTGCAACTCAAAAAAGAACTGTTTTATTGCATATGACTACAACAACTGGTAAGAAGACTTTGTTCTTGGAATATCCCTGGATTGACAATTTAACTATCTTTATCTGTGTATGACCTGGATTGTTTATTGGACTTTGCTTTGTTTTTTCCTAAAAGTAAAAGAATATCACAACTCAGTGTGTCTGTGTATTGACAGTGCTTATTCACAATCACTCTCATTCGTTTCTCATGTGCACAACCTTGCTACTCAAGGGTTACTCTGAGCATATTCCTTAACAGTTTCCTTTTGCAGATGTTTCATGACCTGACTAGGGAACTTCATCAGTGCTAGAAGGGAGTGGGGTTTGCTATCTGGCTTGCCCTGTCTGTGTTGGTGTCCCCGGGAAACCAGGGTGGATAAAAATCGATTATTTTTTTTTATTTATTTTTAATTTGGATTTTTTTTATTTATTTAGATCAGATTTTTTAAAAAATCAAATTTATTTTAATAAAATGCTTTTGAAGTAAAAAAAACTCAATCTAAAGATAGTTTTCTATTTAAGATCCATTAATAATTTAGTTTGTTCAGCATGAAATGGAGCTTAGTCTGTATAGTCTGTAATATTGGGACTGTAGGTGAGTCCACAGCGGGTCAGAGGAGGAGCCGCTGCAGGACAGAGATGACAGTTGCTCTTTAAAAATCATGATTTAAATCGAGTTGATTTAAATCAACCCTTTTTTAAACTAGTGATTTAAATCAGGATTTAAATCGTGATCTAAATCAACTCGATTTAAATCAAATCCACCCTGCCGGAAACCACCAGAAACACCCCCCATCAACCGGGCAAGCCATTAGTCACTTACATATAACCCTTACATATAGAAGGGACGAGGGGAGAACAACCCCCCTCGTCCCTTCTAGCACTGATGACGTTACCTAGTTCGGCTAACAAAACGTCTGCTAGAAAACAACCAAGCTCAGAGAATACCAAATCTGTTTGCGTCAGCTAATAACAAGAGCTTAAAAAAAAAATCTGAAGATCCCTTTAACAAGAAGGCTTAAAAATCTTAAAATCCCTTTATTTACTGGAGTGTTTGATGTCTCTGGATCCAAAAAACCCCCACCTAATTGCCCAGGTACCCAAAAACTGCAAAACAGAAAGCACCTGAAGCAGTGGTGGGTTTCAACAATTTTTACTACTGGTTCTGTGGGTGTGGCTTGGTGGGCGTGGCATGGGAAGGATACTGTAAAATCTCCATTCCCACCCCACTCCAGGAGAAGGTTCCTGCAAAGTCCCCATTTCCTCCCGATCAGCTGGGACTCAGGAGGCAGAGAATAGATGGGGGTGGGGGCCAGTCAGAATTTTTACTACCAGTTCTCCGAACTACTCAAAATTTCCGCTACTGGTTCGCCAGAACTGGTCAGAACCTGCTGAAACCCACCTCTCTACTGAAGTATCAAAGGAAGTGCCATTCGTTGAGCATTAAAGATGCTCAAAACCTGCATAAAAAAAACACCCTAAACTTGGATGGTATCTCACCGCCAGAGGTGATATTCAGCCGGTTTAGCCCGGTTCGCCCGAACTGGTAGCAGAAATTGCAGGTGGCCACCCACCCAGGCTCCATGCCATCCTATTTAGGCACGCGCATGCATGAAAGGCATGTGTGTCCAAAGCGCACACGTGAAAGGCGTGCGCATGCGCAAAGCACATGCACAAAAGGCCAGGTGCATGAGCAGAAGGCAGGCGTACGTGCTAACTGTGAGCGTTGCGGCGAACCGGTAGCAGCATAAAGTGAAACCACCGCTGCTCACCGCTAACTCAAAACAAGTGATATCGACTTCTCAAATAACGTTGGGCAACTGATTTGGGTCTCTTAATTTAAATTACTCCGGGCTCCTTGATCCATCTTTTTTCTGAGCTGAAAGATTCAGTGCCGACAGCGCAGAGCCTTTGAGATAACTTCAAGGAAGACGGCTACCATTTGACAGAAACGAGAAGTAGAAGCCTGCCCGGAAAACATCAAAAGCGGGTTTCCCCCCCCCACCTCCTGATTTATATTCTTTTTGAAACGCCTTTTGCACTTCAAAGACATCCGCCCGGGTTGAAAAGTTCAGGCTTGTCAACCGAGTGTCTTCGCGCAAACGTGGCGGCATCAATTCCGCCCGGCGCCCCGTTGGGATGCAGAAACAGAAAGGGATGCCGGGGCTGTTCAAAGCAGGGGAAAAGCATCAAAAAAAGGAAAGCGGGAGGTGGAAGGGGGAGGGGGAATGCGCATCAAGACCGGCATACAAATTGTGAGCTGCTGCCTGTCCCGGGGTGAAAAAAATAGGGGGAATTTTCATGCTGATAACATTTCCCCCCAATAAGAAATGGATGCAAGGAAGGTGTGAAAGTCAGGTTGATCTAGGGGTTAAGGCACCAGGCTGGAAGCAGAAGGTGATGAGTTCTCCTCACTGGGGAATGGCTGGGTGACTTTGGGCCAATCACCAGCCGATGGTGAGTTCTAGTCCAGATTAAGGCATGAAAGTTGGCTGGGTGACTTTGGGCCAATCACCAGGAGACGGTGAGTTCTAGTCCAGACTAAGGCATGAAAGCTGGCTGGGTGACTTTAGGCAAATCACCAGGAGACGGTGAGTTCTAGTCTCACCTTAGGCATGAAAGGCAGCTGGGCCAATCACCAGGCGACGGTGAGTTCTAGTCCAGACTAAGGCATGAAAGTTGGCTGGGTGACTTTGGGCCAATCACCAGGAGACGGTGAGTTCTAGTCCAGACTAAGGCATGAAAGCTGGCTGGGTGACTTTGGGCCAATCACCAGGCGACGGTGACTTCTAGTCTCACTTTAGGCACGAAAGGCAGCTGGGTAGCTTTGGGCCAATCACCAGGAGATGGTGAGTTCTAGTCCAAACTAAGGCATGGAAGCCAGCTAGGTGATTTTCGACCAGTCACCAGGAGACGGTGAGTTTTAGTCCTATTTTAGGCAGGAAAGCCAGTTGAGTGACTTTGAGACAGCCCGCCCCCCTCTCTCTCAGCCCAGCCCACCTCACAGGGCTGTTGTTATGAAGAAGAAATATTAGGTGTGTTCGCTGCCTTGAACTGTTTGTCAAAATAATAAAAGCAGGATGTAAATAAATAACGAGCAGACAAACGTCACTGTTAAAACTTGGACAATAAGGTGCTGTTACGGTACCTTCCGCTGCTTCCTCGGCCTGCTGCGAGCGTCTCAGGGCGACCATCCTGTTTCGTCGGTGCCTGGGCATCCCTTCGCCCCGCTCGCCTGTGAAGGGCTGGGGTCGGGCCGCCACAGCTCCCGCAGCCACCACATTCTGACGGTGTTCCTCATCATCTAAGGAAAGGAAAGGAAAGGAGTTTTACGGTCCGCTGCGGGTAACTGAGGGGCAGTTTGGTGTAGTGGTTAAAGGCACAAGGCTAGGAAACAAGAGCGCCATTCTCGCTTCAACCCAAAGATGTTTTTTTTTTTCCAAGAGGCAACTGGATTTTCTTGTTTTTTCTTTGAAGACGTTTCGCTTCTCATCCCAGAAGCTTCTTCAGCTCTGACTGGATAGTGGGAAATGGAAGGATTGATATTCCTTGCAGACAGCTGGTCATTTGCATCCTTTTAGAACAGTGTTTCTCAACCTTGGAAGCTTGAAGATGGGTGGACTTCAACTCCCAGATTCTGGGAGTTGAAGTCCACCCATCTTCAAGCTACCAAGGTTGAGAAACACTGTTTTAGAGGGTTTTTGAGGCCACTAGGAGGTTTATCTGTGTCCTCAGGGTCACCTGGTTCCTGTAGTCTGCAATTTTTTTTCCTCTGGAAATCCATTCCTACTCCCACACCATTCCCAGGGTCTTCATCCCAAATTGTATGGCTAAAAATCTGTAGAGATTCTCCGTCATCCAGGTCACGGCATTCCCAACCATCCTTTCAGAGCTGAAGAAGCTTCTGGGATCAGAAGCGAAACGTCTTCAAAGAAAAAAAAACGAGGAAGTCCAGTGGCCTCCTGAAAAAAAAAAGCAGTGGGTGACGGAGAATCTCTACAGATTTCCTGACAGTTAGAACAATTAATCAGTGGAACAGCTTGCCACCAGAAGTTGTGGGTGCTCCATCACTGGAGGTTTTTTAAGAAGGGACTGGACAACCATTTGTATTGAATGCTATAGGGCCATGATGGTGAACCTATGGCACGCGTGCCATAGGTGGCATGCGTAGCCGTATCAGTGGGCACACAAGCTCAGTTCCGGCATGCGCCAGCTGATTTTCGGGCCTTCTGGGCCCACCAGAAGTAGGGAAACACGCTGTTTCCTGCCTACGGGGGGGGGATGGTGGGGAAGGCCTCCCCAGACTCCTAGAAAGGCTCTGGAGGCTGGGGACAGCAAAAAACAAGCCTTCCGGTCCCACCAGAAGTTGGAAAACGGGCTGTTTCTGGCCTCCAGAGGGCCTCTGGGGGGATGGGGAAGGCTGTTTTTGCCCTCCCCAGACTCCTAGAAAGGCTCTGGAGCCTGGAGAGAGAGAAAAACGGGCCTACCCAGCCATCATGTGGCGGGGAAGTGCGGGGGAGGGGGTAAGCATGCATGGGTGGGTGCATAGAATTATTTATTTATTTTATTTATTTTATTTATTATATTTCTATACCGCCTTTCTCCCGTAGGACTCAAGGCGGTGTACAGTCAAGAAAAATATAAACACACAAACATCATAAAATTGCTAATTAAAATTATTACTTAGTTTGGTCAATTAAATAAAACCCAGAATTAGATCACATTTAAAAAATCATTCACATGTTCATATGTTTAGCCCCACCTGTTGGAACATCAGGGTCTTGAGGGCACGGCGGAAAGCACGGAGATCAGGGATATTCCGTATTATGAATTAAGAATTATGGGTGTGGGCATTCGCATGTGCGACCCCCCAACCCCTCCCGGCATGCGATGGCAAAAAAGTTAGCCATCACTGGTATAGGGCAGTGGTAGGTTGCTCCCGGTTCGCACCGGTTTGCAAGAACCGGTAGTAAAAATTTGTAGTAGTTCGGAGAACCGGTAATAACATTGGCTGGCCACGCCCCCGAACTGGTCCCCGGCCCGGTCACCGCTCGCTTACCCCGCCCACCTCATCAGAGGCTTTTTTTTTTTTTTTTTTTTTTTAAAAGCATTTTTTCTACAACCTCTTCGGCCGAAAAAATGCTTTTAAAAGTAAAAAAAAAAAAAAAAAAAAGCCTCTGATGATCGCACGGCTCAGCTGGGATCGTCAGAGGCTTTTAAAAGCACTATTTCCTGCAACCTCTTAAGGTTGTAGAAAAAATGCTTTTAAAAGTAAAAAAAAAAAAAGTTGGCCACGCCCACCCAGTCACATTATCCCACCAAGCCACGCCCACAAAATAAGACATGCCTCTAAACAAGACATTCTATTAATGGATGTCTCATTATGCAAAGTTTGAATCTAACATACAGACAAGCTGGAAAAAAAAATTTTTTTTTATTGTTGCCAAGGCAATAAAGATTAGTGTGATCACGGTCACTCTTCGTATATAATAGCCATCTTAATTTCGGCATTATATTTTACTTAAGAAAGAAGCTAACAGACTGCTAATACCACATCCTGGGACTTCTACACTGCCTGAAACAGGCCAACTAAAGTTGTGAAAGATCACAACTGATGTGTGATAGGCAGCTGGATACAGATTGAACGGTTGCACATATGCCTAGTCTAGAGAAAAGAAGGACTAGGGATGACATGATAGCAGTATTCCAGTATTTGAGGGGCTGCCCCAAAGAAGTGGGGGTCAACCTATTCTCCAAGGCACCAGAAGGCAGGACAAGAAGCAACGGGTGGAAACTAACCAAGGAGCCTTGGTAGTACAGTGGTGTAAAGCACCCTGTTATTAAGACCAGCTGCCTGCAATTACTGCAGGTTCGAATCTCACCAGGCTCAAGGTTGACTCAGCCTTCCATCCTTTCAAAGGTAGGTGAAATAAGGACCCAGTTTGTGGGGGCAATAAGCTGACTTGGTATAAATATACAAAAGGATGAAGGCTATTGCTTAACGCATTGTAAGCTGCCCTGAGTCTCCGGAGAAGGGCGGCATATAAATCAAATTAAAAAAAAAAAAAGAGAGAAGCAACCTGGAATTAAGGAGAAAGGTCCTAACAGTGAGGACAATTAACCAGTGGAACGGCTTGCCACCAGAAGTTGTGGGTGCTCCATCACTGGAGGCTTTTAAGAAGAGACTGGACAACCATTTGTATTGAGTGGTAGGGTCTCCTGTTTGAGCAGGGAGTTGGACTAGCTAAAGTTTGTCATTATGCCCAAGCTGGGACCTGCTACCAGGCATAATAACAATAATAATAATATTTTATTATTTTGAGTAGTTCGGAGAACCGGCAAATGCCACCTCTGGCTGGCTCCAGAAGATTTTGCAATATCCTTCCCCTGGAGTGGGGAGGGAATGGAGATTTTGCAATATCCTTCCCCTGGAGTGAGATGGGAATGGGGATTTTGCAATATCCTTCCCCTGGAGTGGGGAGGGAATGGGGATTTTGCAATATCCTTCCCCTGGAGTGGGATGAGAATGGAGATTTTGCAATATCCTTCCCCTGCCACGGCCACCAAGGGAAAAATTTTGGATTTCACCCCTGATGTCGCCCCTTAAATCCTTCCTTTCATTGAACTAGACATTCCCAATTCCTGCAACTGTTCTTCGTATGTTTCATCCTCCAGACCCCCCTAATCCTCTTTGTTGTGCTCAAATTCATTTAAAAGGAAAGCCTACCCAATTTCCCCTAATTTTCTCTTATCAGGCCCTTTGCACATGACCAGAGGCACCCTTGCAGCCAAAGCCAGGGCCCCTTAAAAAAAAAAAAAAGAAATAAGATAATTTAGGTCAGCCACCCCAAAAACCAACCAAGAACCCAAAGAAAAGCACTCTGTGTATCCTCAGAGGACCACCATTCCCCCCCCCATCCTCTCTTGATAGCTTCAATGAGGGAAGAGGCGCTGGACTACAACTCCCAGACTCTCCAGCCAGCGCAGGTGCTTAGACGCTGGCCAGAGGGATTGTGGGAGTTGTAGTTCCCAGGCGAATGGAGGCCTCTGGCTAAATTTAGGCCTTCGCTCTCGGCCGGAAGGCCTCCCCCCACAGCAGACCACCGACCCCCGTTAGGCGAGGGTCCTCCTCCTCCTACCCGCGCGAGCCTGTCCCCGGACGCGGCTGACGAAGACGAGGAGAGCCGCCAGCAGCACCGCCGCTACCACGTAAAGCACCGGGTCCATGTTCAGTCACGTGACGCCCCTTAGCCCCCGCCTCTTCCGGTCGGGCCTCCTTGGTGGAGCCGCGCGATGCAGGGCGAGGGTTAGAAAAGCGGAGGGGGCGGGAATGGGAGGCGATGGCCACGCCCACTCTTTGCCTGATTGGCTGGCTGACTGGCGCGGGCGGAAGAGGAAAAGGCGAGCGGGGTTCGCCCACCCGCGGCGTCGCCTAGCAACCGCCCGACGATTTAGAGCTGTCCGACGAGGTGCCTGATTAGAAAAAAAAAATTGCCTTTATTTTGGCCTTGGAAATAAGCTAGGCAATTAATGAAGAGATTCGCAGATAGTCTGCGCTGTCCAGCTATTTTATAAACGAAAGTTTAGGGCAGGGGGAAGGTCTCCAAACTTGGCCACTTTAAGACTGTGCACTTCAACTCCCAGAAGTCCTCAAGCCAACATGGCTGCCTGAGGAATTCTGGGAGTCGTAGTCCACATGTCTTAAAGTCTCCAAATTTCTTCTGGTCTTCTGGAAACTTCTGGTTTAGGGTCTTTTTAAGGGCCTTCCCAGTAGCTTATATATATATATATTATTTTTATTATTATTATTATTATTATTTTTTATATGCCGCCCTTCTCCGGAGACTCAGGGCTGCTTACAGTGCGTTAAGCAATAGCCTTCATCCTTTTGTATATTTATACAAAGTCAGCTTATTGCCCCCACAAACCGGGTCCTCATTTTACCTACCTTGAAAGGATGGAAGGCTGAGTCAACCTTGAGCCTGGTGAGAATTGAACTCGCAGTAATTGCAGACCGCTGGATGTTAAATGCTGCCTTAGTACCACTCAGGATAAGCTACCTATCCATCCATCCATCCATCCATCTATAAGACCCAATAACCTCCCCTCCCCTATTCATCCATCATCATATATCCCTTCCCTTATCCTCCCTTCCTCTATCCATCCTTCCTTCCTCCCTCCCTCCCTCCTTTCTTCCTCCCTCCCTCCCTTCCTCCCTTCTTCCTTCCTCCCTCCCTCCCTTTTCCTTCCTTTCTTCCTCCCTCCCTCCTTCCTCCCTCCCTCTTCTTCCTTCCTTCCTCCCTCCCTCCCTTTTCCTTCCTTCCTCCCTCCCTCTCTCCTTCCCTCCTCCCTTCCTCCCTCCCTCTCTCCTTCCTTTCTTCCTCTCTCCTTCCCTCCTTCATCCCTCCCTCCCTCCTTCCCTTCTTCCTTCCTCCCTCCCTCCCTCCCTTTTCCTTCCTTTCTCCCTAACTCACTCCTTCCTTCCTTCCTCTTCCCTCCCTCCCTCCCTCCCCAGTAGAATGATTATGTTCACTCTAAGAGAGGGTCTCTCTGTGTGTTATTTATGCTGCATTAATTTCAGCAAGAACACAACAGGTTGCATACTGCCTCCCTGTGGTCAGTCATGAGTACAAACTATTTGTTTAGTAACCGAGGTTACAATGGCAGTGAAAAAAGTGATTTCTGACTGTTTTTTTCACACTTATGACCATTGTAGCATCCCCATGGTCATGTGATCAAAGTTCACTCATATTTATGACGGTTGAAGTGTCCCGGGGTCATGCGATCATCTTTTCCGAATGTCTGACCCAGGGGCGAAATCTACGTACCTCCCCTACCAGTTCGGAAGGGCGTGTTTGCGCGTCACATGTGGTTTTGGACCCTCTGCACATGTGCAAAGCCTGCACATGCACAGAGGGTCAAAAACAGGTTACTTTCTGTTTAAAACCAGGAAGTAATGACGTCCAGGCGAGTGGGTGGAGCCTCGTGCTCTCGCCACTACCTGTTCGCACAAACCGGTAGCATTTCACCCCTGGTCTAACCCACAAAGTCAATGGGGAAGCTGGATTCACTTAACAACTTGTGATTCACTTAACAGCTGTGGCATGACAAGTCTTAAAATGGGGCAAAACTCACTGGACAAAGGTCTCACTTAGCAACAGAAATCTTGGGCTCCCTTGCGGTCGTAAGTCGAGGACTACCTGTAATGAGATTTATCTGGCTGAACGTGTCAGAAAAGCCATTAGCAAATCTGCTGAGAGATATACTGTATAAACATTCACTCAGTCTTACACACACATACACAAACACGCATGTAAGCGCATGGACGCTGGCGTATTGATTCTGCCCTTAGCTCTTTGGTGTACTCAAATAAAAAAAGGAACCCCTTTGTTTGCCGATTGTAATTAGCCTTTCTTGAGAATATAAGACTATCTGACAGTTATTCTTTTCTCCTAAAAGTGATGATGTTACAATAGAGCAACCGACAAGGGAAACTAAAGTTTTCCGCTATTGAGGGCCTGCAGGAAGAAGAATGGCAAATGTTACCTGAAGATAAGGTTGGGTAAGTCCTCGCCTATTTGTTTGCTCTTCGTCCCAAAAAGGGCTTTTTCAAAAGGCAGCTGGACTTTGCTTCCCCCCCCCCCCCATTTCACTTTTCATCCAAAAAGCTTCTTCAGCTCTGGCCAAATGGTGGAAGATGGAAGGATTTATATTCCTTGCAGTCATCTGCTCGTTAGCATTCTTTCTGATCACGTGAAGTATTAGTACCACTTTATAAAGCCTTAGTTAAGGCGACACCTGGAGTACTGCATCCAGTTTTGGTCACCACGTTGAGGTTGAGACTTTGGAAAAAGTGCAGAGAAGAGCAACTAAGATGATTTAAAGGCCTGGAGACTAAAACATACGAAGAACGGTTGCAGGATTTGGGTATTGGCCAGTCTAGAGAGAAGAAGGAGTAGTGGGGGACATGATAGCAGTCTTCCAGTATTTGAGGGGCTGCCCCAAGGAGGAGGGGGTCCACTTATTTTCCAAAGGGCCGAAGGCAGGACAAGGAAGAATGTATCAAGGAGAGCAGCAACCTGGAATTAAGGAGAAACTTCTTAACAATTAACCAGTAGTACAGCTAGCCTCCAGAAGTTGTAGATGCTACATCACCGAAGGTTTTTGAGAGGAGACTGGACAGCTACTTGTCTGAAATGATATAGGTTCTCCTGCTTGAGCAGAGGGTTGGACTAGAAGATCTCCAAGGTCCCTTCCAGCTTATTCTATTCTATTCTATTCTATTCTATTCTATTCTATTCTATTCTATTCTATTCTATTCTATTCTATTCATTCCATTCCATTCCATTCCATTCCATTCCATTCCACTCCACTCCATTCCACTCCACTCCACTCCACTCCACTCCACTCTACTCTACTCTATTCCATTCTATTCCATTCCATCCCATTCCATCCCATCCCATTCCATATTTTCTATTCTATTCTATTCCATTCCATTCCATTCCATTCCATTCCATTCCATTCCATTCCATTCCTTCCCTTCCATATTTTCTATTCTATTCTATTCTATTCTATTCTATTCTATTCTGTTCTGTTCTGTTCTGTTCTGTTCTGTTCTGTTCCATTCCATTCCATTCCATTCCATTCCATTCCATTCCATCCCATCCCATCCCATCCCATCCCATTCCATATTTTCTATTCTATTCTATTCCATTCCATTCCTTCCCTTCCATATTTTCTATTCTATTCTATTCTATTCTATTCTATTCTATTCCATTCCATTCCATTCCATTCCATTCCACTCCACTCCATTCCACTCCACTCCACTCCACTCCACTCCACTCTACTCTACTCTATTCCATTCTATTCCATTCCATCCCATTCCATCCCATCCCATTCCATATTTTCTATTCTATTCTATTCCATTCCATTCCATTCCATTCCATTCCTTCCCTTCCATATTTTCTATTCTATTCTATTCTATTCTATTCTATTCTGTTCTGTTCTGTTCTGTTCTGTTCTGTTCTGTTCCATTCCATTCCATTCCATTCCATTCCATTCCATTCCATCCCATCCCATCCCATCCCATTCCATATTTTCTATTCTATTCTATTCCATTCCATTCCTTCCCTTCCATATTTTCTATTCTGTTCTGTTCTGTTCTGTTCTGTTCTGTTCTGTTCCGTTCCGTTCCGTTCCGTTCCACTCCACTCCACTCCACTCCACTCCATTCCATTCCATTCCATTCCATTCCATTCCATCCCATCCCATATTTTCTATTCTATTCTATTCTATTCTATTCTATTCTATTCTATTCCATTCCATTCCATTCCATTCCATTCCACTCCATTCCACTCTATCCCATCCCATCCCATCCCACCCCATCCATCCCATCCCATTTTTCTATTCTATTCTATTCCATTCCATTCCTTCCCTTCCATATTTTCTATTCTATTCTATTCTATTCTATTCTATTCTATTCTATTCTATTCTATTCTATTCTATTCTATTCTATTCCATTCCATTCCATTCCATTCCATTCCACTCCACTCCACTCCACTCCACTCCACTCCACTCCACTCCCATATTTTCTATTCTATTCTATTCTATTCTATTCTATTCTATTCTATTCTATTCTATTCTATTCTATTCTATTCTATTCTATTCTATTCCATCCCATCACATCACATCCCATTCCATATTTTCTATTCTGTTCTGTTCCGTCCCGTCCGCCGTCCCGTCCACCAACCCCTACCCCTACTCCTATCTCTATTATTCCATCCCTCAGCTTTGGGGAATCGGTGTGCACATCCAGAAAATGGAATCCTAATGATGAGAAGAAAAGCATTTAAACGTGGTGACGCCCGCCCCCAAGCAATGGATTTTCTGCAGCCGATTTCTTTGAGAAGCTTTTTGCTTTTGCTCGTGTTTCCCCCCACCCCCACCCCCACCCCTTGATTGTACCAGGGGACCAAGGGTGAACATTGGAACCCTCGAGGGCTGCTTCTGATTTGATTCTAGTGCTCCCGGAGGTAAACCTGGCAGCCATTCATTTGTATTTGACAGATGGGAAGCAAATGTTTACTCACTTTCTGCTTTGGCAGAGGAAGTGGCATTTCCAAATGTCCATTGTACGGTCGGTCACTCAGTGAGAGAGAACAGCGGGGTTGCAGGATGTAGAAGGAATAGAGAGAGAAGAAGGAGAAGGAAGAAGAGAAGGAGGAGATCAGGAGGAGGAGGAAGAGGAAGAGGAGAAGGAAGAAGAGGAGG